TAATAATATTCACCGGGGACGAGGAGAGGTACAGGGTGACAATGTCGGTGCAATTCGCATGGGCCGGGACGTCGGAAAGGAACACTGTGCTGATAGGTCGACATTGGAAAACATTGACCATAGTTAATGCAAAGCCCGCTGCGTTCACCACAAACAGAGTTACGTAGTTTGCACATTGGAAAACCTTCTGATTGCGCGTCAAGGTCAGGTAGAAGACAAGGATCGAGGTCTTGACCGCCATTAACGCCGGATTCTAAGTGGCTATGTCAGCATGCCGTTTATTTGGTTATTATCCGGGGAGTAACAAAGGGGAGTTGCAACTGACATATAGGACCGTGAAGGCATAATTAGCCTTATTAAAAGCGAGTGAATCTTCCGGCTTAATGTCACTTGAATGGAGACCAAGTCCTTTCTTGACAGCAAAGAATAGCGAGAACGAAAAGCCAAAATCAATTATCTGTAGACTGGTAAGCATCCGAGCTCTAGCAAGAGGTTCCAATCATATGCCCGGTTCGCCAATAGATCGAGTCCGTTGTCGCTACATCCCCGGGCACATGCAGGGATCAAGTCGAGGGATCCTACCCATGCAACCAACATCAACCAGTCGTGTAACCCAATCCTCCTGACCACAAATATTCGGGAAATGAAGCGAAGGGCGACAAAGATAGAGGCGATCGAGAAAAAGGTGATCGAAACACCCAGCGTAGCTTGTTGGCGACCCTCCATGGCGAAATTGACAGTGGACTGTCCTAGCGGACAATCCGGAGAGTTCGTTTATAACAACCCCAGGTGTAGCGCAGGATATCGTCGACGAGTGAAACTTTCAATTTTTATTGTAAAATCGCGATCGTAGGCGGGCTGAAATGGCGCGTGTGCGGAGGCGTCATCGTCTCGTTTCCCGACGGAGTGCGAATCCGGGGGCTGGAGTACCGGGGGGAGAAAGTGCGTAAGAACGGCGATTTAATAGTTGGTATATGTCAAGTAAGAGGAAAGGGGAGGTGAAAAAGAGAAGTTGAAGATTGTCGGAATGTGGGGAGAGAAGAAATTTAGGGACCCTTTACCCCGGTTTTGGCCCGCCAATCACCGATCGTCTTCTTCATTTACCCTTTCCGAGGCTACAGGTCTAAAGCTATACGGAGTACGGAGTACGGAGTACGGAGTAATCCCTACGCAATAACTCAAATTCTTAAATCCACACGAAGTGCGCAGTATGGAGCACACAAATACCATTTCGGTCACATCGTCCATAATGAAAAGATCTCCCCATATGTCTCACCCAATGAGCATCCTAGCACAACAAACGAATGCGAGACCCACAGTCCATGACAAGGCACCAGTTTGAGCTTTTCTTGGGATGTGATGCTATACGAATAAAGCCATATTATGATCTCTCGTTCGCAGGATATTTGTCTGATCACTTTGTCAGGGGCTGTGCTGATCCGCGCCTATTATACGGTGTAGGCAAGTCATCGATCATGAGCGCTTCCATCTACCCGAGTCCCAAAGTTTCACGCATCGGAAGACACGTGGGAGTCACTTTATTGGATCTACTTGAGTGCTACAAGGCTACGCTGAGGTATTTGGTAAATGAAATCCCCCGTGAGGCCAGCGGTTCTGGAATTTGCGATCGACAGTGATCTATTCGCCAATTTTCGAATGTGATACATCAGGCCAAATGCTGCAGCTCGCCTACTACCTAAACCGAAGCAGCAGACATGAGCTTGGATTTGATTTTCTACCCCGGATCATTCTGCATCTGGGAGAACCAATCGGTGTCCTATTTCCATAAGGCAAATTGATTAAGTTATCCACCGCAAATCATGCAGGCACTGAGCTTGGCATACAGAGCGATTGGTACGATGGACCGGTGCATCCAATCATGATATTTACTGTCACTGAATGGGTTTGATGTACTTTGAACACTGTGATGACTCCTCTTCGTTTTAAGCTCGCAAGTTCCCGGGAATATACGAACATGCCAAGAGGCCATCAACGATGCATGGCCATCCACCCCACCTGAGATCAGCGGCTTCGCAACGTTACAAGGAACTACCTGCTAGCTCCTTGGCTGCGTTTCTTTTTTCAGTATGTAGTCGCGAGAAACCCCTCAACCGATCGGCTGCTAGTAATTCCCGCTGCTATGCGTTTGATTGTACCCTTCTCTCCGCTCGCATATTCATTTTACATAATGGATAAATGCACCGACAACCGGTATATCTCGAGGGAAATACCGAATACTACTCTACTGCCTATCACATGGTAAAATGTCGTCCCAAGGTTAAGTCAGAACCGAACAAGATCTCCACTATGGGGGTATGTAGGTGCAGGTCCTTAGTTCAATCCATCTAAGCGAGGTGTAGGAACTTTCTGTTTACCAAATGGAAAAGTACGAAAGGGTCTGCCCAGGTGCTTTTGGCTCACGATATTTAAGAGGCCCACTGCCCAGGAGCTCACATCAACGCCAAGAAGATACAGAGTGTCCTGACTGCTTCCAGGGCTGTCTTTGTCAAATCAACCGATTCCTCTAGACCAAGATGAGACTCAACGCGTTCCTGCTAGTGTTTGGGCTTTCGGCGTCTCTCCGGGGAGTACAAGCCGAGACTCAAGTCGAGCAGTCCATCACTTCTATTTGGGATGACTTCAAGAATGCAGTGGACTGCGGTACTTGCCAGGTATGCTTAATTTCGACACTTCCATTGCTTGTAAGGCCTTGGGTTAACTCTGTACAATTCTACAGGTTCTCCTCGGTAGCATCAAAGTTACCGCAGGGCTAGGTGAGAAATTCATGATCGATGTATTCACCGGACTATGCAAAATCACCGGGGTAGGTTGGCTATTCTCATGAGCTTCCTGACTCAATTCAATTAACCACATGTATGCAGGTTGAGGACCCGGATGTCTGCACCGGGATCATCAATAAAGAAGGACCTGCACTGCATGATGCTTTCAAAGCCTTACAACTCAACTCTGACGCTTCCAAAACGCTGTGCGCCAGTTTGGTTGGCCTTTGCAAGCACCCGGATGTTCATCCCTACACACTAACTTTTCCTTCACCAAAACCAAAAACTGTGAGGCCACCACCTAGCGGCAAGACACCGCTCAAGGTCGTCCATTTCAGTGATACGCATGTGGACCTACTCTACGAGCCTGGATCCAGCTATAAATGCTCCAAGCCCATCTGTTGCAGATCCTGGTCAGACGAATATGCACCGGGGAATACAGGGCACCCATGTGGACCATTTGGAAACACGAAATGTGACCCACCACAAATACTTCAGGAGAGCCTGCATGCTGCTATCGCAGACATCAATCCCGAATTCTCCATTTACACCGGCGATGTGGTGGCGCATGATATCTGGTTGGTTGACGAGACCGAAGCTCTGAAAGGGCTTAATGCCACGTACACTGCAATGGAAAATGATATCGGCACTGTGTACGCTGCCATAGGGAACCATGACACCGCACCGCTCAACCTCTTTCCTCCAGATGCTTCAAGTGAAGCTGATCCCCAATGGACGTACGATGCCCTTGCACAAGATTGGTATGCACTTACGGGCGTTCCTTCCGTCAAGTCTGCAGATAAATTTGCGTCATACTCAGCCGTCCATCCCAACAGCAATCTTCGCATCATCTCTTACAACAGCATTTTCTACTACATTTACAACTTCTACATGTACCAAGAACCAATGGAGAAAGACCCACGCGGGCAATTTAAATGGCTCATCGAGGAACTGCAAGCTGCCGAGGACGCAGACCAACGCGTATGGCTAATCTCTCACATCCCACCCGGTATACCTGATCACTTCCGCGACCATTCGGAGTACTTCGACCAGATTGTGCAGCACTACGAAGCCACCATTGCAGGATTGTTCTATGGTCATACTCACCAGGATGGATTCCAGATCGCATACTCCAACTACAACAATCGAGACTGGAACACAGCTACGGCAATGAGTTATATCGCTCCAGCGGTAACACCAACGGAAGGCTCACCCTCTTTCCGCGTCTACGAGATCGATCCAGTCACCTTCGGTGTCATAGATTACACTCAGTACATCGCCAACATCAGCGACCCATCCTTCCAGAAAAATCCAGAATGGGTGCCTTATTACTCTGCCAAAGCAGACTATGGCTCCAAGATCTCCGCTCCGCTCACGGATCCAGAAGCCGAGCTTACTCCTGCATTCTGGCATAATGTCACCGTTGCCATGGAGCATGATCCGAATGTTTTCCAAGATTACTGGTCAAGACGTGTTCGCGGATTCGAAGTCGAGAGCTGCAATGACGACTGCATGAGAAACGAAATCTGCCTTCTTCGTGCCGCTAATGCACAGTATAACTGTGATAAGCCGAAGGCTTTCGACTTCTCGAAGCGTGATGGGCAGGAGGGTGATATCTTGCTGGAACGGGAGCCCCATATTGACTGTGATCATGCTGGAATGGCAACCCTGGTCTCGAAGATGGCGTATCGGGCTAAACTTGAGCGAAGAAAGGAGCTTGAGGCTTGAGGGGTCATGATTGATCATTTGGTAGTTGATACATCTATTTCTAGACAGTAATAACTACCCAAGCTAATTTGAAAATATTTGCTATTCGAGTCCTTTTATTAACACCTCTCCTTTCATCATAGTTATTTGGAGGAAGGGTGAGTATACGCTTTGCAGGGGGGTAGGAGTGGCGGTTATTGAACACGGTCGGCTCGCTGGTATATATATCCTCGTTTCATGGAAAAACGAAAGCTTTAGCGGGACAGTTTGTTTCTGGTCCTATGATATGCCTAATGCGAGAGTTAATGTTAGGATTATCATGTCATATTGTGACCCATCCGTTGGTAATTGGAAGATTGTGGTCTTGAAATTTCAAAGGGTACGAAAACTAGTTGAGTAAACTACCAAGACATGCCAGGTGCCTGGCCAGCTCCATAGATGGGGAAAGATTGAAGAAATACCAGTTGTCATGGGATCTATTATTGGTACAGGTACAAACATTACAATTAGGCATCAAGCAGTGAAGGTTGAATCGGGATCTACAGGAATAAGTCCCTGACGATCCATCATCGCAACAAGATCCCCATCCATCATGAACTCGCCAAGGTCCATACCAAATGGCGAGAGACTGAACTCGTCCCCTGTAAGGCCTGCTCGAGTACCATTCAGAAGATGATGGGTTGCAGTCGAAGCATCAAGGCTCGTTTCTAATAAGCAGTAAGGTGAGTACAGTCCCAGTAACACAAAGAAGACGGGAAAGAGGCTGACCAGGATCGTTCAAGACCTTGCTAAATTGTTCCAAATAATACCGACATCGATCGATCAACCGGTTTCCTTCATCTAGCTTGGAAAGTGCTGCTACTGCACGGGCAGGATAGTGTCTAGCTTTGCTTGCTTGGTCTGTCATTGGTGAGCTTGTTACGCTTGTATCACGGTAGACCCAAACCACCCCGATGAGGACCAGTGCCGCGTTAAAAGCTAGAGAACTGTCAGCATCTAAAATTCCAGAGCGAGGAATTGAGGGCATACTATAGTACAATGAGAACCACCAAGCTCCCAGGAGGCTGCGCTTCCATCCAGGTTCTGATACAACTCGATGTACGATATCGATAATCTCCATAGCGGAATCCGCGCATATCTGCAAGCTGTTCATACCGATCTGTTGCAACAATCTCATATCATGAGGATCGCGATCGGAGGACCTACTTGCGGTGATAAATTTGACCAGTATCGGGCGGTGGAGCAAAACCCGAAGATTAAGATATCTCAAGGTCAAAATGACTTGAAACTTCAATGACAGATATTCGGTATTGGACGACATATGATCTTGAGGCAGATTCTCAATGCTAGCCGATGAGATAAGTTGTAATGGAGGGGTAAGTGACCGTTCCCAGGAGAACAAGTGCTGTTCCAAGCTGAAGATGTGTGCTACTGTTTCGCTGACTGGTAATGGACCATCGCAACCGATGTTTTGGCCATAGAGAAGCTCTAGGACGTTCCATAGCTCCTTATATAGTCCACTAGTATTCATGTCAGAGGCCTTGGACCTCAATGGCGTTGAGGTCAACCACTTACATTGTCGAATTGAAGAACGCAACACTCAAGGCCGCTGTCTCGTCATTCACAACTCCTGTTGAATTTTCAAATTCTCGCTCCGAGGGCAGCTCGAGCTTGACGTAGCTATCTGGAATGGCTGCTGGTCTGCCAAAAGTCATGCTCAGAGTCCTATGTTGTCAGAATACGTTTGACATGTGGAGATTTGGACACCTACCGGTCTAAAACCACACAACCGTACCAAGTCCGCTTTCGCATCTCCTGCTCGATAGGAGAAAATACTTTATATGCATGCCGCGAATGTAGTCCAAGCTGGAGAGCGGCTTTGACAGCTAATCCATGGACGGTCCATGCTTGTATTGACTTTTGTGTCCCTTGAAGGTATTGGCCCATCAGGAGTAAATATTGAACTAGGGAAGCACAATCAGCATAATTCCTTGGTGAAAAAACGAACACGCAACAAGAATCAAGATCTACTTACCCACTTCCAGGGTTGTCCCTCGCAAGATTTCACTTCCACACAAGCCAAGACCACGTTGATAGAAGACATCGGATTCCTCGATCCGAGCATCTGCACTCGCACTTCCAGGAATCGCTGTGATGGTAGCCATAGCCAGCACCATATTTAATAAACCGAGCCAAGTTCTCCGTACCCGACTGAAATTTTCCCGTGCCATCTGGTGATATGTATCTAGGAACACGGGTGGGTATATGTAAGGAAATAGCAATCCCGTGTTAGAGAAATAGCGTTCTATGAGTTCCAAGGTGCTTTCTTGCGGTGGCAAAGCGAAGATGTTCACTTGCATGCGCTTATCTTGACCAATCTTGCGTGGTGGCGATGATGGCCTCGATGCATTCACGAAGCCACCCTCAGCGGCGCCAGGTGAAGGGAAATACCCCGGTTGGACAATTGCGCTTGACAGATGTCGAAGAAATGCAATATTTGAAGAAGGCCCTAGTAATCTTTAGCAATTTAGAATTCCCTCATGAAGTACCTAGGTACACTTACCAAAGAACCCAGAATCCTCCTCATCCGCAAAAATCACTGCACCCATACCATCGACTGAATCCTCGGTCCCAATCAAATCCGGCATCGGCGCAGCAATTCTCGTCTCGCCCTGGCTCTCTCTGGCATTTCGAACAGAAATGGCAGAATGTCTTTCCCTACCACTTTCTGCTCCACAGTCAACCCTTTTCGCCAACCCATCCAAATCACCTCTGACAGCTCCAAACGACTCTTCGAGGCTCTTCACCCTATCTTCAAGCCTGTGCAGATAATCTTTCTGTACTATAACATTAGCAGCCGTTGATGGTGGCGTGTAAACACATTCAAACCCCAAATCCTGACATAACGAGCAGCTAGGCCGCTTGCCGTCACATCGGGATTTGCGGGTTCGACATGCATCACAGGCGACGGCTACACGGCGCCGTTTGGAGGGCCGCGCGTTAGGTGTTTCGTTATCAGGTGAATTTGATGCCATTTGATATTATCATCCAATTGTCATATGATCAGGGGTCGCCGGGATGTGGCTGTTTCTTCTGGGGTTGTGTCGGGCGGGGGTAGATCGGATGGCTACCCGGTGTTGCCGGGTTGTGGATCACATCCAGTGCTAAGAGGCAGTGGATTTAGTCAATCTCTGATTTTTCAAATATATATTTTTTTTTCATTTGATCGGATGTGCTTGTTCTCTTGGTAATAGCTTGCGATACACGAATCTTGGTGTTTCCAGATCTAGTCAAAACAGTATGGAGAGAACGCTTTGTTTATGGATGTGTTGCGATATGAATATCGCTTTTATAATCGTTATAGAGATACAAGTAGAAGGTGGATATAGATTAATTATAAACACTTATACATCTCTCCAAATTAAGTCCTTGGGCAGTACGCCTAGGTTCTTTTGTATGAAAGGTTAGGTATAAAGCTGAACTACGAGTGCTGAATCGACTCGCATGCCTTGAGCATACAGCCTTTAGCGTCCCCCTCTTCAATATATACACCGTTTAATCCGACAAATATCTACCCAAACATAATAAACTCGTGAAATCGTGAAGCGGACTAGCCGCGGCCCAGACAACCACACGCCATTGGAAATAAAGGAGCACAAAAACACCATAGACAAAACAATCAACTATCTTCATCAGGGGAAATCACTATCTCCGGCGTAGACTGTGGCCTCGGCGATGAAGTTGTGGGACTGACATCAGACATGGATGGTGCTCTACTTCGTGAGATCGGCGTTATATTTGACGGACTCGATCGTCGCTGCCACCCTGCAAACGTGGCCACAGGAGGACACTGCAAGGTTGATGACCCAAATATGCCCCCACTCGGGAGTGAATTCGAATGAGCTTGACGGGATTTTGGCCGCGGGATGGCTGGGGTAGGGACTGAACGGCGTGTCGGACTACGGGGCCTCCTTGAGCTGCCCTCGCCATTATCCACGGAGCCCCCGTTGCTTATGAAGCTTGCAGCTCTTGATCGGTTGTCGGGTGTAGATGACCTTTGATATTTGTCTATCTGCTTTTGGAGATCTGAGTTTTTGTATCTTTCTCCTGGGGTCTCGGGGTAAGTTGTTTTGGCTTCGGGTTTAAACCCCGTTTTCTCGATTTGGTTGTGGGCTTTGGTTGTCATAATGGCACTTGCCGCCATGAGGAAGCGGGCAACCTTTCGTCTTCCTCCTAAATCGGCCTGAGTGCCAATGGTTTGATTGGTAGTAGGACGGCGTATTGTTGTCATTTCGATATCGGGATCCTGTCTCTCGGCATTTGCTCTAGACTCTCGTCGAGAACTGCTTCCGGTATCCGAAACAGCACAATCACAATTTCGGCATTTCCCCACGATAGTCTCTTCTTGCTGTCCATCTTCCTTTCCCGCAGCTTCTATATCCGCAGAGAGAAGGAGATATAGTGATCCTACAACAGCGAGGGCCGTACCAACGATTGGGGCCCATTGACCTAAGGATTCATCTGTTAGTAAATTCATGGTGCTAGTGTTTTTAATTGTTAAACTCAGATAAGGGACAGCATTTACTTACCAATACTTTGTATGGGCTCTGTTTGGTACTGTACTTGCGTACTCCAGAAGTTCATCTCGCCTTTGACGAGAATTCCCAGAACTGCTGCAGCAAAAACTGGTATCTCGATGAGAGCCAGCCACTTGCTTATCTGGTTGGTAATCCCATTCATGTGGGTGATGGTAGCCCCGTTGGTTCCCAGAATGGGTTCATCTGGCTTTTGCTTAGGTTTTCCATTTGAGAACTTCTCCCAGTTATCATCCAGAATTTTGATCCACATGGATACTAACGACAAGATCGCAGGAATGCAGCATGCAGCTGCAATGAGCGTAGTAGCATTGAATGACAGCTCGTGAGGCACTGGGATCACGTAGATATTGTTGGCTGCATCCAGCCGCAATGGTGAGACTGGACCGTTCTCTGGGGTACAAGCAATGCCACAGTTGGCGCCATATTGAAACTTACCACCCTTTTTGCCCCCTGTTAAGGCCCAGTGAATACTTGCCGGGTCGTCATCTGGGCAAATACTGGACTTGAGGCGCATGAATTCCACAATCAAGCTTATTAGTCCAACTAGGAGAAGGACAGTCCACAGAAAGATGATATCACGGCCGGGGTTGTTGAAATAGGTCCGAGAAAGCCTGACAGTGGCTGGGGCGGTTAAGATGCCGATTGCGCACAGTTGGAATGCCCCATAGACATCCATATCCACAGCGCCTATAGAATATTAGATTCATTGATTGTTTCGATGAGTCGGACCGGACGGGAAGCTTCAACTGTGGCAATAGGGTCGTTCGACTCACCGTCGACATGAAGCGCAGCAAGCACAATCCCGTGAAGAGCCGCAATAGCGGGGAAAAGTAATACGGCGGCAAGACAAGCGTTCCGAATCCATTCTACTTTGCGAGCGACCACACAGGCTGCAATCAAGACATAGTATCTGGAGTACGTGTTAGTATACCCTGGTAGCACTGCCAATCTCTTTGTGGAGAAACCCACAGGACTCGGGTCCCTGGACCGTATTGACCGGAAACCGGCCAGGCGCAGACAACCTCGAGATGCGAGGAACTTCCGACTGTAGTCACGTTAGGGGGCGATGCAGGAGCACGATGCACGAGTGTATTCTCTAGGAAGGAGGCAATGGATGGAATTGCGGGCATTGCATGTTATCCACCTCCGGTGACGGTAACTTTATGATAAAGCAACAAAAAATGCATATATTGGGATGTTGTTCTCTAATCGTGATAGTGAATTAATGGGGCTCGATGTGATCTCATAAGAAATGGAGAGAGACAGAAAGCAAGGAGCCTTCGAGCCGTCTTATCGACGAAGCGCTACTCCGCAGATTGACCATGATCAACGAAGCGAATAGGGGACCGCACCCAGGGTGAGAGATATTTTGTCAGCAACAGCCTCATCTCGGATTTTGGAGCCTCGGTCAAGCTGGGATTGGGTAGCCTCAGAAAGAACCTTTATCGCTAAGCTCTAACGCTCGGAACGACAAGTGCTCCCGTGATATTGATTTGGGCGGGCGCAGCAACCCGGGCGTGAATACGAGATGGGGCGATCCCAGTTCCCGCTGATTGGCAAGTTAGACTCTGTCGGTACATATTGTGAAGGGGCTGTGTCTGTCGGGCGATTTATCGGTGTCCTAAGGGGCAAAGGGTGCTATGATGTAGAAGTAGAAAATGTTTTAACGAGTCAACTCCACGAGAGAAAGACTGGGACTGATATTGCCCGAACTATGGGTCGGCCAAGAGCAAAAGTCAACATTAAAGTGACGGTCAACTTCCTAAAGTTGACAGTGCGGGGTTCCCAAGTCTCACCAATTGCCAGTAGTCTCTCGACTCTTATTATTGGCATTTTTTGTCAACAGCAAATACAAGCTAATCAGAAATGTCCACTCTATCCCGTGCATGTCTTACTCTTTTTTGATTGCCTTTCTTGTTGAGGCTCAGGCCATCGGACCTCTGGGCGAAAATTTTTCTTCCTATCCCAGTTCTTGCCATCGCAACATTTGATTAGCGTCGAAGAAAGTGATTTAGTGATTTACTTGCCTGGATTCTAGTGCAACTCTAATAAAGCCCATCCTTGATCCACAAATCCACTTCCAACACGGAGATATTTCACACCCTCCCAGACCGTGACAGGGCCTTCATTAGCAGCTGGGCTCCCACTTATGTGCCAGGCCTAGGTCGCAACCGTTTGAACCTTGTCGATGTGATTATGAGGGGCAGTTCACTCGATTTCCCCACATTCTTGACAGTTTCTTGATTTCGCCGGCATTCAACCACAGGAGACAAGAGGATAAACCACAGACGAAATTTTCCGGATTTTTTATTGACAGGAAGCAAGACCGCCATATTTGTCGCGAATTCTTTGCACGAGAGAAATGTGTCTGCAATAAAGACAAGAGTTGAATTTTGACATGCAAATATCTCTTGTTCCACATTCTGGTATTTTGTCACCATGCCTGACTGCGGCTGAAGCCACGATAAGAGAGGCTGACTTAGTGCCTGTCGACCACAGCAATTACCTAGTGCATGTTCTTCAAGTGAACCTCGGAAAGAGAAGCAAACATCCAAAATGGACGACGAACTCGATACATCGAAAATCAAAAGTTGGCGATCAATCATCACCCTAATAATTTTTGTTATTACTAGTAGGTGCGCCTAGGCCTACAAAGCGAGGTTGAGACTTACTTTTCCTTCTTTGCGTGCAGATATCATTGTCCTTTTCCCATTTCATATCCCTCTATACCTGCCTCGATGGCTCACAAACGGGGTTTTGGATGTATTGAGTGCCATGCGCATAATACCTCATCGGACTCGCTGTCGATCCAATGACAAGCAATCGATTTTCGTGAAATTTCGCTTTCCATTGAACTTTATCACGGCACCTTTAATAGCGGATCTCTTCCTCCTCGCTATTTTAGCTATTGGCCGAAAAGAGGTACATGATGGAATAGTCGGCGCAGACAACATTAATCCCATTGATATCATGGTCTTCTTCCTTACACTCGCCTACATTGCCATCTCGATTGACGCCTCGGGCCTCATCAGATATCTTGCCTTCAAGGTTCTCCAAAAGGCAGGCAAGGTTGGCCACCGTCTATTCTTTTATCTGTTTGTCTTCTTTTTCGGGTTAGGCAGCTTCATTGGAAACGACCCAATCATCCTGTCCGGTACAGCGTTCCTCGCGTACATGACCCGCGTGTCAAGCAATATCGTCCACCCGAGAGCCTGGATCCACAGCCAGTTTGCCATAGCCAACATTGCCTCCGCAATTCTTGTCTCCTCCAACCCCACCAATCTGGTCCTTGCTGGCGCCTTCAAGATCAAGTTCATTGTGTACACAGCCAACATGATTGTCCCTGTAGTTGTGACGGCAGTCGTTCTTTTCCCGTTCCTGCTATATATCATTTTCGCCGACGAATCCCTCATACCTCTCTCTATCACGATGCATGAGCTGTCTGAAGATCAAAAGAAAAAACCACCCGTGAACCCCAACATTCCTCATGCCAGAGGAACCGCCGAAGAGAAAGAGGAAACTGATGATAAGGAGGGAAAACAACTCTCATTGGAAGAGATCATGAACCCATTCTTAGACAAAAAGGGTGCATCCTTCGGGGGACTCATCATGGCCGCCACGCTTATAACCCTCCTGGCAATCAATGCATCAGGCAAAGAGAATCCCGTTTTCTGGGTTACATTACCCGCTGCTTTTGTTATGTTCTGCTGGGATCTCGCATTTGGTTGGCTCCATCGCCATAGCACCCGTGAGATTGCCGCAAGGGGTCGACGAGAGGTTGAAAACGCACAGGCAGAGCGAGAAATGCGCAAACTAGAAGAGCAGCAAGCATTACCAGCAAATATGGACCCGGAGACGTTGGGTTTGGAGCAGTCCGAGCAATATGACGCTACAGGCCTGCGCCACGGCAGTGAGCACACGGATGACGATATCTCGCTTGAAAGTCCCAATAGTGATATCGCCTCAAAAAAGCCCTACCTAGAATGCGGGACTCAATTTTCACTCTCTGTCCCCGTTGACAAGGAGAAGTTCCCGGAACTACAACCGCCAGGCGGTGTTGTGATGGACAGCAAAAAACCAGCTCGTGCAAGTTCTCCCGAGGCACTAGACTCGAGACAAACTACCGACACGACAACAGATGAGGAGAAACGGGGATATCCATATCATCAGGACAACGGCCCGCGCACCTTAGCTTCGCTCGCTGGTGATATCTATCGCTGGTCACAGGAGACGTTCCCTACTGTGACAGTCGTAGTATCCCACATGCCTTTTGCACTAGTACCCTTCGCTTTCACAATGTTTATTCTAGTCCAGGCGCTTGTCACCAAGGGCTGGGTGCCGGTTTTCGCGTACGGATGGGACCACTGGGTAGAAAAGACTGGGACAGTAGGCAGTATCGGTGGAATGGGATTTCTATCTGTGATTCTGTGCAATGTGAGTATTGACCAATCCGCTTGCCATTCTTCCACTTCCACGAGGCACCCGCTAACTTGTCACCTTCTAATCAGTTTGCTGGCACAAACATCGGCACCACGATTCTCCTCTCGCGTGTTATTCAAGCATGGCAAAAGATCCATGAAGTTAGCGGAATCCCCATCAGCGATCGGACATGGTGGGCGACTATCTACAGCATGGCACTCGGAGTCAATTATGGCGCGTTTAGCACTGCGTTTAGTGCTTCGCTGGCTGGACTGCTGTGGCGGGATATCTTGGCGAGAAAGCACATCCGTGTCGGCAGTCTGGAATTTGCCCGTGTGAACCTTCCCATTATTGCCATCTCTATGGTGGTTGGATGCGCAGTTCTCGCTGGAGAAGTGTACATTGTCAGAAGTGACAGCCCCCACTTGTCGGCTTGATGTGTGGATTGCAGGAGGCTGTTTAGATGTTCTATAGATTATGATGCTCTTGATGTATGTTCGGAGTGGCTTTTTATCACCCGACAGGCAGACGATCTTACGAAGTCAATGAACCCAGAGGTATCTCTAACGCATGTTCTCATTATGAAATTTCCATTTATTCAGTGGGGCTGTGTTACATTCCATCAGTTGATCGACTCTCCCACGACACCGTCACACTGCATGTCTAATCATGCCATACTAAAAGCTTCACTCGTCCACAAGGGACTCAATGTCCATATCCTCCGAGCGATAGAAACCCAAGGCATCAATCATGGGCTTATCATCAAACCGATACAGATAGACCGGTTCTTCAGTACCCGCAAAGTGCTGGTATCTGTACCACGCCGGAACACAGAAAGTATCACCCTGCTCCCAGGTATATTCCTTCTCACCAATAGTCGAGCGTCCCTTGCCGGTGATGACATGATAGACAGCGGACGTAGTCTCGCGCCGGGAAGGCGAAGCCTTAGACGCCGAAATGCGCTCGGCACATCCTCCAAGGACGCGACTCACTATGAAAACCATTAGCCATGTTTCCATCCACCGCTCCAAATAATAAAACTGTGAATACATACCTTCGCGACCATCCTCCTTCAAATATCTCTTAGTAACCCAATCCCCAACAACTCCATCCAACTGCGTCTTCATAGTAACCCATGGGAAAACCAATGGTGACGTGTTGCTATCAACATTCTCCGCAGGATAGCGAGGCTTATCGAAGTGCTCTACGAAGTGCACAGGGAAGTGTCTGAAGTTAGGCAAATCCAATCCGTCCAGCCACACCATAGGTCCAGAACCATCTTTGCCGTGGTCATGGTAGTTCCAGGTAGGTGTGAGAATGACATCTCCGCGCTGCATTGTGATGCGCCGGCCGTGAACAGCAGTAAAACCGCCCTGGCCTTCAATAATGAACCGCATGGCAAAGGCCGTGTGTCGGTGAGCTCGTGCGGTTTCGTTAGGCATCACTAGCTGCAGACCAGCGTAGAGGGTGTCGGTAGTGAAGGGGGCATCTTTGATAGGATGTTAATACCAGTTATACGCAGTGTATAGTGGATAGAAAGGTATAACACAATGCAAAATCCAAGGATAACTTTGTACATACCTCGAGCTGGGTTGGTAAGCATCAACACCCGGCGCTCAGCCTGGTCTGCTGGGACGAGCTTTCCAGCGCGCTCCAAGTTAGGTCTGATCGCGCTGTACTTCCAGACATTTGGCACTGTTGTTGGGTTTGGTGCTGGGGGGGTTCAGACGCGCCATCTGCTTCCACAGAGGGAGGGTCTTGCTCGCTTCGAGGTCAGCGAGAAGCTGCTCCTCTGTGTCGATGACACTTTCCACGTGAGTTGAAGACATTGTTGGAGTTGATATGGTATTCAGAAAGATCTTTGGATTGTACTATCTTTTTTCTATAGAGAAACGATCCCTAAGATATATCTTGAACACTTTCCTAGGACCGTCGGCTCTTGCTAAAGCTCGGGGCAAGATCGGGTAGTCTTCCCCGGTGCGTTACCGACTGAGGGGTCATAAAGGCGATAATCCGACGGTATGCGCTGTTGATAAGTTCTAATTATTTTTTTTTCTTTGGAATAAAGCAAGTGATAGTAAGAAAGATGGTGTCCAATGGTCAGGCCGATGGCCATGTTTCTCAGGCATCCTTGAAAGTGAGTTTCTCATCCCATAATGGCAATGTGAGATTCGCGGACATTAACGAATCAATAGACTCCAACATATCCCAGCAACTGCCTTGAATTTTTAAATGATCCATTGGCAGGTGAAAAGACCATCCCTGCGAAGGTCCACTTAAACATTATCGTCGTCGGCGCTGGACTCGGCGGACTAGCAACAGCCATCGCTCTCGCAAGTTCCGGCCACACCGTGACTGTTTACGAGCAAGCACAAAAGCTTGGAGAAGTACTAACTCTCTTCCGTTGATCTTAACCAAGGCTAATCACATACCTCAGGTCGGAGCTGATATCCAAATACCATCTAACTCAACTCGCCTCCTGAGCAGGCTCGGCCTAGACCCATACTTGAAAGAGTATGTGACGGAGCCTGAATCAATTTCTTTCCGACGGTGGCAATCAGGAGATGTCATCGGGCTCACAAGACTTATCCCGAACTTCCGAGAACAGTTCGGCGCGCCGTACTATGTGATTCACCGTGCGAACTTCCATTCTGCGCTGCATAAACGTGCCCTGGACCTGGGTGTCACAGTCAAGGTTGCTTCGCGGGTTGTGGGATATAATATCGAGGGACCAAGTATCGTTCTTGGGAATGGTGAAACTGTTTCGGCTGATTTGGTCGTTGCCGCAGACGGTATATATCCCCACGCTCTTACGATATATATGATCTACTCTAATAGTCTGTAGGTGTCAAGTCGGTTGCTCGTGGAACTCTCGATCAGAGTGGCAAACCCACTTTCCAAAAGACTGGATTTGCGGCGTACCGAGCTACTGTGGACGTGGAGCGCATAAAGGAAGACCCGGAGCTTTCTTGGCTATTGGAAAAGCCGGCTCTCAATATCTGGTTAGTAGAAATATGAAAGGGTCTTCGAAACACAACTGACCCTTTTTGTTAGGATTGGTGATCAGCGGCATGTAATGACATACACCATCGGAGCCGGAAAGTCTTTCAATATGGTTCTTTCTCATCCAGATGACAGCGATCCCTCAACATGGGATCAGCAAAATACTCTTAGTGAGATGAGATGCGAGTTCCAAGGATGGGACAGCCGGTATGAATCTATGATCGTTCTTGGTATTATAATCTTATTAATATATTTCCAGACTCGAGAAGATTATTGGACTCATCGAAAAGACCATCAAATGGCCACTGATCAGTGGAGTCCCTTTATCTCGCTGGGTGAATGGCAAGGTGTTGATACTAGGAGACGCAGCACATGCAATGCTACCTTACATGTCACAGGGTAAGTACAAAGCACAATTAATCTTGATAGTAGTCACTAAAGCCGCACAGGTGCAGCTATGGCTGTCGAAGATGGCGCAGCACTAGCACGATCTCTGTCCAAAATCGAGGACGCCACCGACATCCCGAAAGCATTGAGTATTTTCGAAAAGGTCCGCATCGAGCGAGCTGGAATGATGCAGGAGGCGAGTCTTCTGAATGGAAAGCTGTGGCATTTCGCCGACGGACCGCTTCAGGAAGCCCGTGATGCCGCTATGAAGCCCGAGATTCTGGGTTTGCCTTTCAGCCATAGTCCTAATCAGTGGAGTGATCCGGCGACTCAGATGTGGTGTTATGGATATGATGCCGAGCAAGAGATTGATCAGGCTTGGAAGTTAGAATTGTAAAAAAGGCTGTTTCCATAGAGAATATACTACTTCCTCTTAGGCGACTACATATTAGAATTTATCCAGGGCCTTGTATTGGATTATACTCGTTCCTTTCTCTCTTCGCTCCCCCTTTCAAGTAGTACACCGGTAGACTGCTAAAGGAATGTTGATGAATAATGATTTTCCTTCGCCTTTCCAAGGTTGTTTATCAATATTAGTCTAGTCACTGTGGGCACCCGATCCCCAGAAGAACACTACATAGCTCGCACACGAGGCCGAAATATCATTATAGCCATAATATTTCGTCATGCTAGTCAAACCCCAATTTCCCCGCATCTTCTCATCTCTCATCCGGTTAGCTACTATAACCCCATCCCGGAACAACACCCGGCAAACCCGGTGTACCCGATCTATCCCCGGTATAACGACAATAAAGAGCCATATAACCCCTCAACCACCGGAATGAATACCTCTGTTATCCAATTCCAATTAAAATAAACCAAACATCAAGACCGAAAAAAAAATCTCCGAAAACATGTCTCTCCCATGGAAACGCCTAATCCGCTTCATCGCCACAGACGGCCGCACCCTCCGCGGCGAACCAATCCTCCCAAACCCAACAACAGACCTAGGTTTTATAACCGAGTCCGACAAACTGCAAGCACGTGTAATCGAAGGCGACGACCTGTACGATACCACAGGCAAAACCCGCGTCACAGATGAGATCGTCTCCGTAAAGACTGTCCTAGGCCCATTGGCGCAGGCGGATGTTCCTATTCTGCGTTGTGTCGGATTGAACTATGCAAAGCATGGTAGGTTTCCTTATCCTTTCTAGAAAATAGAGCAAACACCCCCAAGGACAGTTACTTATACATATATCCTCCGTGTCTACAGTCAAAGAAGCCGGCCGCACCCCACCCCCATTCCCATTCATCTTCTTCAAGCCAAATACCACAATCCACGACCACGGCGCACCAGTGACAATCCCACAGATTGCCCAGGATTCACAGGCAGATTATGAAGGCGAGCTGGTAAGAGACTTCCCCTGTTTACAAACCAAATACCCGGCCCTAGGTCCACTGATCTCAATATGAATACTAACAAATGCCCATAGTGCCTTGTAATCGGCCGCGACGCCAAGAACGTCTCCCCAGAGGACGCGCTTTCCTACGTAGCCGCCTACACAGTCGGCAACGATATCTCAGCACGCAAACTGCAGCGCGACCCAGCTCTTGCGGGCCGTGTCCCGCAATGGGGATTCTCTAAGGGATTTGATACGTTTGCACCGCTTGGACCGTGTCTTGTTGCTGCGAGCGAGATCGCTGATCCTAGTAAGCTACTGCTGAAGACGATTGTTGATGGGGAGGTTAGACAGGAGGAGTATGTTGCGGATCTTTTGTTTGATTGTGCGTATTTGGTGTCGTATCTTTCGCAGGGGACGACGCTGCAGAAGGGGAGTGTTATTATGACGGGGACGCCTGGTGGTAAGTTTTATCTGTTTTGGTTTTGTTTGTTTGGCATTGAATTTAGTTGAGCTGACTCCGGTTTTATAGGTGTTGGCGCTGGTCTTACGCCACCCAAGTACCTTGTTCCTGGGACGCAGATGGATGTTGTTATTGATGGGATTGGGACGCTGAGGAACGGCGTGGTGTTCGATTAAGATGGATTATAGGATTGGTGGTTGACGGGGATTGGGGGCTACATTATAGACGGGTAAGACATAGAGATCGGCATCGGCAGAGGACTTGTTAGCAGATCCAAATTTAAGACAATATCGCAAGAGAACAACCTGACTTGGCTGGAAAGGGAGGCCCGCAAGTGATCATCCCAAGCTGTGCTGTAGAAGTGAGGCGCAGTTGTCTCAGGGTGGACCAATATAGTCACTAGCCTTGCGTTCCTGTAGTTCATTTTCCGTTTTGGGTCAACTTGGGAGTCCCAAAAGTGGAAAGGGGCCACACTAATCCTTACTCGTACAAACAAACAGTCCTCGGACATAATACCGGGATACTACGAATACTGGGAGACTATTGGAGTAAACAAACACGAGTCAAACGAAACGAATTTTATTCAATGTTCCTCTCCTGCAATATGCCCTTCATTGTTTTGGGGGCTGTTTGCATTCCACGAGCATGATCTTCATAATCATAATTGTCCTGTCGCATGTGCATGTTCGAGGTCTCGTCAAGAGAACCGTCCATGACTTGCCAGCATGCGCGCAAGGATCGTAAGCATATGTCTTATGGCCGAATGGGGTCCATCATAAGGTAGTATTGCGCAAGAAGAAAATTCTATGAACATGGAAAAAAATGGGCAAAATGTGAATGCGGTCCACTAGGGACACGCGAAATGGTAAAAAGATCCAGGGTCAAACGAGTGGACGAAAGGTAAAAGAAAGGCCAGGTCTCTCTGAGAGATGAATGATTGGGTTCTCGGAGAGACTGGGAAAGAAGGGTAAAAAGGTCACAATAAAGTGAAAAGAAGGGGATAAAAGAGGGAAGAGTCGTCAAGACCATATCCGTTTGCGCAATCTACCAGAGACGTATCCGTTGTTCATATTCATAATCATGGCCATCAAAACCAACGCGCGGTCGACGCAACGTTTAGTGGATGTACCACTTGGCACCAGAGACACGGCCCTTGTCCATGGGGGCCAGCTCACCGAAGAGGTGACGAGACAGATCGACGGAGGTGTTGTCGCAACCCATGCACTTGTCGACCACAATACCAGTGGCGGTCTGGCCCTTGTATGTGATGGTAACGGTCTTGCCGCAGTCACTGTCGGTCATGATACCGTGAGGCAGGGCGAGAACGTTCTCAACGGTACCATCGTTGGTGGTGCCACAGGAGCTGGGGTTGGTGCTGGTGGTGGCAGTATCGTAGAAGGTGATCTCACCGTCGCAAGGGGGAGCCCTCAGAGCAGACGCCGGTGCGGGTGCTGATAGTGGTCCCGGTGTTGGCGGCACTGGTAGCAGCAGGGGCAGCGGTAGAAGAGGTCTCAGCCGGCACGACGGGAGCGGCAGTGGTAGAGGTCTCAGCCTGCACGGTGGGAGCGGGAGCAGCAGTGGTGGTGGATGAGGTGGTGGTGGGCGCAGCCTGCTCTACCTGCTTGGCAGGGGCCTCAACAGTAGGGACAGGGGCAGCGGCAGTGGTGGAAGAAGAGGTAGTGGTGGGCGCAGCCTCCTCTACCTCCTTGGTGGAGGCCTGAACAACGGGCGCAGTGGTGGTGGTAGGGACTGTGGTGGTGACCGCAGGGACGACGGTAGAAGTAGAAGTGTGAGCGGCGTTAGGGTAGACGGTGGTGGTGACATCGATGGTGGTCCATACGACATCAGTGACGGTCTCCCAAACGACGGCGCGTTTGGCAACGGGGGCCGAGTAGCCGGTCAAGGCGAAGAAAGCGCCAGCAAGGGCGAGAGTCTTGGTGATAGGAGCCATTGCGAATGAATCGGAATAGATGACTCGAGAGAGTGTGTGTGTGAGGTTGTTTAAAGGATTGATCAACTGCACAGCAGGAAGGTTGGGGCACTCGAAAGGAATGTGAGTGAGGAAGGAAGGAATGGACTGAAAGAGAATAAAGACAATTTGGGGGAGTCTCGACTTTATAAAATATCAAAGGTAAGGCACCAAAGAGGAAAATGGCCCACTTCAATGGTCACCAACCTTGGAATGTCCCCACTTTATCCAAATCCATGGTCCAAATCAAGCCACGATCCATTGGACAACACATTGCCATTCCTTACACTCCCTGGCTACCTAGGTATGTAGCTAGGTATATTGTACTCCGTACTCCCGTACTAAATATCCTACATAGAATCCTACGTAGCACAAATCACGGGAATATCACAATCGCAACTCCTACCCGAGCCGGACGCCCCGGTAGATTCCCATTGGAACAAAAAAATGACCAGGGGCTTGTGCGCCACACAGGCCATATTTCTCCTGGCCCTAATCTCCTCTGGGGATAGACCGACGGCTGCTTCAGCCGATCCAACGATCTTACTGCCTAGTTGGAGTCTCACGACCCACATATTTTGCCTCTCGTACCTGACTGGTTGACCTATCAGAGGCAGCGGCGATTTCTTTCTTTTCCAAGGTTCTTTCTTCGGGGGGGATACCATATCCGCTGTTTTTCACCTCATTTACACCATTTATTGAGATCTCATCACATCGCTCTTTAGTCGCCTTGCAAATGACGTGTGTTGCAGTGTACACGGTCGCAATGCACCCCAGGGGAGGACTGGTCAGAATACTGCAGTCTGCCTTTTCGCAGTCTGACGTGTGCGTATTGTATCGGGCCCCGAGGGTGTAAATACCCATGTGATTGGACAATGCGTAAGACAAAGATGACCTTTCAGCCAATCCAGTTGGAATCGCATGTTCGACTTGTATACTATTATTATTGTACAGGTATTTTAGTCCTCCCCACTGCCAACGGTCTGGACTTGGTCTGAGTTTTCAAGCCGTTTTTTTAGTTTTTTTAGTCTTTTAGTGCGAGAATAGTGCCGATCTTAGGTTTCTATTCTGTGAACATCCGGAGTACTCCGTACTGTGTTAAACGGCTATATCTACCTACTCCGTTACTCCGTTGAATCTTGGAATCTAGACTCTTCATTTTCAAAATCTCACCTGTCTTACTTCACTCCGTATCCAGTATTCCGTACCAAATATCCAACCCCTCTTCCCAGCCCTAACCAGCCCGAACACAAAATGCAGGGCACAGGGCACAGGGCACGCACCCTGAACAACCTTGAAATGTCCAAGACCTACATAATCAATACCGAGAACCCGATCAGGGTGCTGACTATATTCGCACAAACAATCAAAATTGCCCTATAGCTCTCTGACTACACATCCCTCGGCACTTTTGATATTTCAGACCCAACCATCTCCTTCCCAAGAGGGGAGTTAGACCCTGTCGCACCAATAGCACCGGATACATGGTACGAGCTCGGGAATTTGGTTGGTACCCATACAAAGTACTGTATTCCACTTCCAAAATTGGTCCAGTCCCCTCTACTCCGTTTGACCGAAGATCCCCCGGAATAGGATTGGTTGACCATGGTTGAATGGTATACGTCCCATATCGCAAGAAATTATTGCACATTTGAAGAATTTGAAGGGAGGGGGGTTGAGACTGGGATTGTACCCCGTATCGGACGGATAAAATGAATTACACTTTTTAGTTTGGTTCGGGATTGTCATTGGTGTCGGTACGGCAGCACACTGGTGACCTAATGCGCTTCGTCATTCATGTGTCCCGCGCATGGTTCTATATAGTCTCTCTCATAACTACTTCAACTTCTTATGGCTTTCGCTCGTATAGCTTTTAGAACTACATTAGACCAGAATTGGAACACTTAGCGTATTTAATGAGCTAGATCATCTCGGCCGCCTTCCCATCACTCCATCACTTAGTAAGTATTAAGTCGGCGAGAGTTTATAAGGTAGATATATTGATATTTCATTCTTTTACGAGAGCCGTAAAATTCTATGATGGCTACATCGAGAATATAGAGCGGCCTCCGGACCTGAAAAGCTACAGGGCCCTATTTTTAGTCCGCATGTAAGCATCTACCTCCCTCGACTTATACCACTTTTTTACGTAGTCGCCCGCATTCTAGAGATCTATTAAACTCGACCCCTACCACTAAATCGAGCTTTATCACTGAGGGGCCTTATAAACGAAATCCCTATTGGCCTTGAATGATATAGAAGGCGAGATAAACGGATAAGAACACATAGGTTATTTCAGCAGCAACATCATTACCAGGACAGGAGATGATGAGGAGGGTATTAGCATTAGTCTCCTTGTAAGCCCGTTTTGCACGTTTTTTGTTCTGCCCTAGGCAATGAAATATGAAACGACTGGCAAGCAGGGCTCAATCAACCCGGTAACGATAGCCCTATGCGCAAACGCCAACCCCAACGCCACAGGTGTGCAGTCGTCCAAGAGTAGCAGTTACATCCTTCTCTTGTCTATTGCACACCTCCTCCCCACACATTGACGTCTATATCAAGTCTTTTATGTTAATCGCGGGTATATACGATCTCAGGGTATTATATTCCTAGAAGGTGCGAGAGGCCCAGTTTGGAACGCACCCATCGACACACTTGAATATCCAGGCTTAAGTAAGAAATACTACCTTGCAAGGTTATCGGGAGATCTGTCGTTGTTATAGATGAAAGTATTACAGTGGATCACGACCGCTATTAGCGAGTTAACGGGCTTTCCTGCTCTAGCAATAGCACTTTATATTGACTACGGGAGTGGCTCTTGTAGAGTGACATCTGTGATCCGGCTCAGACCAGCCTGTTCATCGTATGAATGTTCTTGGAGGGAAACTGCACCAAATACAGTCCTTATCTCAACTGATGTTACTAGCTACGATTTTAAAATCATTCCCAATCCCTGATCGCGGTAATACCAACTCAATGCCTATCCTTCTGATTATCTCGATTATTGACCTTATATGTGTCACCAAAAAATGTCGCACCCCATGACCTTCCGAGATCTAAAGCCCCGTAGGAGTGAAAGCGTTTTTGTGGAATATGATTCAATTTATTTGATTTTGATGAGGCATAGATTCTATAGACTGTCTAGGATTTCCTTGCTAAACAGTGGGTGCATGTCGACAAGGCTTCTCTATAACTAGCTCAACACGATCAACAGGTTCCCAATCAAGCCACACGCCTACTTGCCTTGCTTCTTGAACGATTTGTGCATCGGCTCTTTCCCTTCTGGACAGGAATTTTTTCATCCTATCTGTCCAGTAGCCGTGAAGGAAATCAGGCAATGGGATACGCAGCTCTAGGTACTTTTGCTGGAACTCTGAGACGAGAATGTCCAGTTCTAGTAGCAACAGTCTTTCTTCCTCATGCGTTTCAGCAGCGTCATCGCGCGAAACTGGTGTCCCCCAATGGTTATGTGAAGAGCGACAGGTGTGGGTAAGTCCCAGCTCATTGAAGGTGAGAAAGCGCAATACTGCAAGAACAAAGCCAGAGGATTCACTTTGATCCCTGAACAAGTATTCCATGACGTGACCATGGAAGCATGTGTGGTGGCCAAAGACCGCAGTTGAGGGGTAAAAGACAGCTCCAACTCTAATTCTGAAGAGCACTTTCAATGCGATTGTAATTGAACGGCAGCCGTCGTCGGGAGAGCAGGCACATGAACAATCATCAAGCTCATTGGAAGCCAGAGACTCTCTCAAGAATTGTTGTTGTCGTACATTCAAATTTTCAAGGAATTTAGATACTTTTTGACACACTCGGTTGCAGGTTGGTGGACTCCCAGGAATTAGCTCATCTTCAGCAACGAAGGCGAAGCCTTTGACAATTTCTGGCCAAATCTCCAAGACATCCGGCAGACGAGATCCAGATCCATTTCAGTAAGCCATATGGTACGATTAAGAACCCCTTCCAGATGGTTGAATGTGGGAGGAACTAATCGACACATACTTCGAAACCCAGCTAGATGAAGACATTTCATCAATCTCAAGCAGAATGTTTGCTCAAGAACGGATGATGTGTTACCCAAATCTGATTCATCCGTATCTATTTCATTTGGTACAACCACCCCCCTTGCCTTCAAAGCTGTACATATGCTGTTCGAATTACCGTCGGGCAGTTGCTCTCTTGAAACCCCCAACCGAGTCAATTCCTCAATTGGCAATATAGTCTCTGCTAGATTGCGAAGATCGGTCCGTTGTTTGACGAGCTCCGTTGTCAACATGTCACATATCTGTGCATCGACCTCGAGCGAGGAATGAAGGGCCCTAAGTGGAAACGGGATTTTTCTATTAAGTAACAACCGTACTGAAGATGGGTGGTTTCCATTGATAGCTTTGCACAAGGCGGAATGTATGATGTGTGTGCTATATTTCCCTTTTTCTAGCAATAGTTCCAGGCCATCGGGCCAAGACAATGCCAAATAAAGTAATTCACTGCCTCCAGTATCCTCGCAAAGAGAGTTTGGGTTTGATGCGATCGCCGATTCAAGAGCTTGTTTTGACTCATGCAGTATTGCAAAAGCTTCGTCGGAAATGTCAAGTCCTTGATCGTTGTATTAGCATGGAGAGGGTTGGCTGAACGATTTGGTTTGTGCACAGACTCACTGTTTCCAAACATGTTGACAAGCTCCGTTTTCTTTTCGTGTTTGGCAATTTCAGACGCACTAGCATAGGTTCCAACACCACTGTGTAACAATGATCGCAGTATATCCTGATATTGTTGATTCGGGTCATACAAATGACGTATCTTCTTACGGCGTCCCCAAACTATACCTAAGCGATGAATCTGAAATATTTCAAGGAAATAGTCTATAGGGGTCATTCCATAATCCTGAGCCTCAAATGAAGCTGTATCACCCAAGCAGATATTTATAAGTCGGCCATAATTCGGAATGGCGTCCGGAAATTGTAAAAACTTCCAGTAAAGACCACAAAGTTCCTAATCATATAATCAACCCCATTTATCCAAAAGTTTGGGTTCAAGCTCACATAGAGAATTGAAAGACCATGTGGATTTATATCGCTGGGTCTAGCCTTCCCCTCGCTGTAAAGTTGGCAAAGTTCAACAATTGTGGTATCGACCAGGTCGGGCATGAGTTCCGGTTGAAAATTGAAGTCTACCCTTCTAATTTTGTCGATTAATTCAAATGCCGGAGAATCAAAAGGGACGACGGCGCGGAGAGACAAAGATGGGGCGATTTTTAGCGCGTGTGATCCCATGGAAACTTCAAGTGAGGCGGAGACATTGAATCCAAATATATTATTGGCGATGCAAAACCGTCTGATTGCGATGCGACCTTCGCGCACGCCATGAGAACAACGACAGGAAGTCATTTGATGGTGTAAGCATTCAGGTGGCGAGGAGCGACAATCAGGACTGGTTAGTCGCTGTCCTGGTTTGATTGAAATGTCTCTATCCAAGCGGGATTCCAAACTTGCAAAGCCTTCCTCAATTTTCATATGCGTGGCCGAACCTTGAGTGAGAATTGCAGCGTGTGAGTGACTGGTAATTTGCATTTGAGCCCTGAACTCAGAATTTAACGCATTAGCAATGGCAGTTTTGTCATATTTACTTGCATCAGATGCAATACACATATGTGCATAGCAGTGCTGAGTTCTAGCTGAAGTCCATCCAAGACACTGCTCAATGATAACAAAGATTTTTGTCGAAACGGATAAAGAGCTCTTTTGGCTGTACTTCTGGATATCGCCTGGATTGGATTGCCGGGTTGAAGTTCACCCCAGCACTTCTTGACAGCTTCTTGAAGAATATCGATTCCGGTTCGGATAATTTCCACCATTTGATGAAGAGGGTCTGCGTAGTCGCGCTCGATAAGGGCCTGGTTATCTCGGAGAATATTTTCCAGCAAATGCATTGTGTTTTGCATCCGTGTGGCCTTGCGGGCGATGCGATCAACCTCCTCGTCTGCCCCCTTCACGGCCGAGCAGTAGTCGAGTACACCACTGCATATTGTCATCCCCAATGAAAAAACCCCACAAGCACCGCTGATAACAGAAAAAGGGTCAGCCATGATTAACGAAGGACCTATCTTGCAACAAGTTGGAAACTAAGAGGTTGAAGGGTACCTCGAAAATGCCTTTGCAATGGGTGGTAAGCAGTCTTGGGGGCTGAGCTTAAGAACTGACGTGGCCGAATTGTTATCCAGTGATATTTAGGTGCCACCGACCAACTGGGTTTAACATACGTGACTAATTGCAGATTGCAAGAAGTGGGGGAACAACAATGCCAATAGTATTGCCGTAGTTCATCTGAGGCGATACGTGCGCTGCTAAGCCCCCAATCACCATACCTGGTGCTGGTGCTTCCCACCAAATGCCAGTAGAATAACCTTGGAAAGCGCCAAGGTAGATCAAGTAAGCGCACTCTCGTACTATACTTAGCCAACTCTTACGACGGTCGCGCCCAACGGCGAATTCGTCACGCTTGATGAAAGCTGCTGCTCTTATGGTGCATAGGTCTTCACCATCCTGCGGTACGGCCCGCGATAAGGCCCGCGCGTACATATCAGCCCTGGAGGTAAAACCAGTGCCCTCTAGCCAACTGACCATTGGCAACTCAGGCCCTGATGTTACATGAACCAGGGGCCCCGGCAGCTAAATGCACGCCATTATCTCTTACAAGGCTTGAGGCCACTCATATGCTCTCAAATCCCAGCGTGTTCATGTCGCTAGACAATTTCGTCACAGGGCAAGTTCGTCACAGTGGATCTGACGAACATGTCGACCAACCATGCTTTAGCAACACCAATGTGACAGGAACTAGCTCTCCTTCCACTTTCGACACCCAGCCCGCACATCCGCCTTCGGCGGCTCTGAAGAAATTAAGAAGTCGTGGTCACATCCTGAGCGCTCAGGATGGCCAACGTGTTCTGTTTGTTGTCTCTATCCCGATGACAATTGAGCATGGTTTTTTCTGCATCACAAATACGCTTTGCCCAGCTACTTTTTGCCTTGTTTGGGGTTGCATTCATCCTTTTCAAGCTACAACCAAGCACAAATGTCTCCACCGAGCAGGTCTGGAGCGACCAGCATGATTGGGACAAATTGGATGCCATCAGAAACGAAACACTTGGAGTAATCATTCCACCTCAAGCTTCATCTAGAGATATTTTGGCTCATTACTATTTAGGTTCAAAAAGTCTTTGCTATCAACCTTGTCAGCCGGCCTGACAAGCGAGACAGTATTATTCTTGGCTCATCCCTCAGCAATTTCCACGTCAAATTCCTCGACGGGGTGACTCCGGATGGACAAGATGCTAAATCCTATCCATACGTACGTTTTCTAAGGTTATACAATACTCACGACGACTTACATTTCTAGAACTGGAACTATGACCATAAAACGACCGAGTACGCTGCCCGACGGGCGCATATCAATGGACTACAGCAGTACGTATTCGAAATTACAACATTTGACATCGGTTAATTGTTGTTCCCTAGAGTTGTCCAAGAGAGATTAGCGAGTGCTATTATTATGGAAGACGATTCAGACTGGGATGTATCAATCAAAGCCCAGCTTCAGAGCTTCGCCCACGCAGTCAGAGCCCTCCAGTTCCAGGATACCCAGAAAACTCCGACTCAATCACCATACGGTGACGACTGGGACATCCTATGGTTAGGCCACTGCGGCATGTTATGTAAAACTGATTTGCCATTTTACCTTACCCCAAATGACCCAACCATCCCAATGCCCCATCATTTTCTTCCCCAGTGGCGCGACCCTCCGGCATTCGAGGGGTATGAGAGACCCGATCACAGTCGACTCACGTGTACAGCAAACGACGGGGTTTGCTCAATGTTTTATGCTGTGAGCTACAGGGGTGCACAACGCATCCTCGCGGCCCTTTCGGTTAACCCGTCTGGTCTCGCAGAAGAAATTGATATTGGTGCCCAGTTTGACGTCTCACTCGGACGCATGTGCGGTAATGGATATTTGCGGTGTTTTGCACCTTACCCATCTATAACTGGTGGCTTCCATCAGGCAGGGCCAAGAGCAAAGTCTTCCGATATCCATGATGAGACCAGTGAGCAAGAAGACTTTTTTAGCTGGGGGGTGATGTATAGCACAATGCTCAATATCAACCGTATATTGAAGGGGGAACGGACTGTTCATGCAACATGGGGCGATGTGGATGTGTTGGATGTGATTCCTGGAGAGATCACAATGGGGGAGGGGGCTATTTATATTCCTAAGCGCATAAACTGAAGTTCACAGAAAAAGGAACTGCTACATGGTGTTGTAAGGGACTTCAGGACATATATCCGTTGTAATTTATGTAGTTCAACGCCGCTGAACCTACCTCTACTACCAGCACTGTGCCTTCATCCACATCTGGATCTGCATCGAACATTGACGAAGACGCTGAACACGGCCGGAAAGATCGCAATTGGAATTGTTGCGGGCGTTGGACTTCCGATACTTTGTGCTTAGGTGCCCTCCTCCTCTATCTCAAGACACGAAAATCCGATAACAAGATTGAAAAAACAATCTCGCCACCGGAACCAATGCCGCCCTGGATAGTTATGCAAAACCAGCATGCGCAGATATCATCGCCCAAGGAGGTGCATGGATCGAGCTTCAAGGCCTCTTTTGCCGAGCTACCTAATCAGCCATATCGGTGAAAGGAAGTAAATGTGACACGCGTTCTGTGACGGTCTATACGAAGACTGATCGCTTCAATGTTTTCATACGGAATCATGATGGGCGGGAGATGTTATTATGTGTTTACTGTAATGAGTCGATGAAAACATGGTAGATGTCTTCTAGAGCCTTGCTTGTAAATATATCGAATGTTCTTATTTAGTCGCATCATATTGAGACTAATCACAAACTATATATAATAAGCCCAGAAAATTGCTAATAATAACTACTTATATCTGGCAGGAGAGCGCGGGTGCAGCCTCCGGGCTCGGCCCAAGGTTGATAACTTGCTAAGATAGTGTGTTGTTTTCCTACATTGCTGTTGGCTCACTGTGTGACCATTACCGAGCCAGTTGAACATGGTTTCTTACATCTATCCATTTAGTAGTCTTCAAATCGGGGGTTACTCATCACACGCTCTGGAGATGGGAAGCGTTTATGTGTTTAGTGAATGATATATTGTCTCTAGAAACAACCGGCCACTGATTATACGAATTGAAATCAAACTACATTGAAGCAATGCGACTTAACCGAGATCCTTCCTAAATTAGCAGGGAGTAAGTAGTTGGCTGGTGGTCATAAGCGAGCGGACAACCGTTTCATCTTTGATTGATCAAACTTGTTTTCAGCCTTTGGGTCCTTTTTCGTTTGGCATTGCCGAATGGGGAAATCGGGTCGTCTTTTTGGTGCCGGAGGCTTGGGTGAGTTTGGGAGTTGTTAGTTTGCGTCAGGGTTGGACTAGGGGCAGAGGTAATGCCGTTTGCAAGTGTAGGTGGGGGTTAGTATCATATGTTAGGATATAATGGGACTCGGAATATTGAAGGCGGATGAGACTAGCATTATAAGACAAGGAATATCTACATATCTACAGTTGGTCTACAAAGTCTACAAGGGAAGAATGAATAACATAACACGTTATTGAAGTAATAATAAACAAATCCAGGAAATATCAGAAACCCACGCCGAAACACACGAACAAAGGAAAAAAAAAGGAAAAAGTCCATCAAAATCATAATATGGGTACACGTGAGAAGCCACGACCTTGCACAAACTCAAAAGGGAAACATCCAAAAGCATTCAAGACAAAGAAAATTTAACCCTGGCACATGATGCAAGCATCCTTGTTCTCGATGCTGCATTGCAGGACGGCATCGGAGAAGATATCACCCTCCGCAGCCCTGCTCTCGGCATCTTCAGCCTTGGCTTCAGCATCCTCGGTCTTGGCCTCGACGGCAGGAGCAGCGACAGCAGGTGCAGCCACAGTGCGAGGTGTCTCCTCGACAGGGGCGGCGACCTTGGCGGTAACGGGCTCGGCGCCACTGGTACGGGGAATGGCCGAGTAAGCGGAGGTACCGGTACCACCGGTACGCTTCTTAGAGCGAGCGATGTTGGTGTCCTCGACGAGGAGCTGCTCCTGATCGACGGTGAACTGGATGGGGGCGGATGCGGCCATGGTACGCAGGTAGTACATTCCGGTCTTGAGACCCATCTTCCAGCCGGCGAAGTGCATGCTAGTGAGCTTGCCCATGGTAGGCTCCTTCAAGTGGATGTTGAGGGACTGCGACTGATCGATGTACGCACCGCGGTCGGCGGCCATCTGCAGAATGTTGCGCTGGGAGATCTCCCAGACGGTCTTGTACAGGGCCTTAATGTCGGCAGGGATGTTGGGGATGTTCTGGACGGAGCCACCATCGGCAATGATGCGGTTCTTCATGTTGTCGGACCACAGGCCGAGGTCGACGAGGTCCTTCAGGAGCCAAGGGTTGACGACCTGGAACTCACCAGCCAGGACACGGCGGGAGTAGATGTTCGAGGTGTAGGGCTCGAAGCACTCGTTGAAGCCCAGAATCTGACTGGTACTGGCAGTAGGCATGGGAGCGACCAACAGACTGTTGCGGACACCGGTCTCGGCAATCTTGGCCTTCAGGGAGGCCCAGTCCCAGAGATCAGTGGGGGTACGGTCCCACATGTCATACTGAAGGATACCCTGCGAGACGGGAGAGCCGGGGTAGGTCTCATATGTACCCAGCTTCTTGGCAATGTCGGACGAAGCAGTCAAGGCACCGTGGTAGATGGTCTCGAAGATTTGGATGTTGAGCTGTCTAGCCTCAGGGGAGTCGAAAGGCAGACGCAGAGCCAGGAAAGCATCAGCAAGGCCGTTGACACCAAGAGCGATTGGGCGGTGACGGAAGTTGCTCTTCTTTGCCTCGGGGACGGGGTAGTAGTTGATATCAATGATCTTGTTCAGGTTGTGAACGAGAACCTGCACGACCTCGTGAAGCTTGCCAAAGTCATACTCGCCACGGGCAGAGTCAACGAAGGTGGGAAGGGCGAGAGAAGCCAGGTTGCAGACAGCAACCTCATCAGGGGCACTGTACTCGACAATCTCAGTGCACAGGTTGGAGCTGCGAATAGTACCCAGGTTCTTCTGGTTACTCTTCTTGTTGCAAGCATCCTTGTAGAGCATGAAGGGGTTACCAGTCTCGGTCTGGGCCTCAAGAATGGCGTACCAGAGCTTCTGAGCCTTGATGGTCTTGCGGCCACGGCCCTCCTGCTCGTACTTCACGTAGAGAGCATCGAATTCATCACCGTAGACATCAGCCAGACCGGGGGCCTCGTTGGGGCAGAAGAGGGTCCAGTCACCGTTGGCCTCAACACGCTTCATAAAGAGATCGGGGGTCCACAAAGCGTAGAAGAGGTCACGAGCGCGAACCTCCTCCTTACCGTGGTTCTTCCGCAGGTCGAGGAACTCGAAGACATCGGCGTGCCACGGCTCCAGGTAGATGGCAAATGCACCAGGGCGCTTGTTACCACCCTGGTCGACATAACGTGCGGTGTTGTTGAACACACGCAGCATAGGAACAATACCGTTGGAGGAGCCGTTGGTTCCACCGATGTAAGAACCAGTAGCGCGAATACGGTGGACATTCAGACCGATACCACCAGCAGTCTTAGAGATCATGGCACAGGTCTTAAGAGTATCGTAAATACCCTCAATGCTGTCGGCGCTGACGTCAACCAGGAAGCAAGACGCAAGCTGGGGCTGGGGAGTAGCGGCATTGAACAAAGTGGGGGAGGCGTGGGTGAAGTACTTCTGGGACATCAAGTGGTATGTCTCAATGGCCTTCTCAATATCCTCGCCGTGGATTCCGACAGCAACACGCATCAGCAAGTGCTGAGGACGCTCAGCAACATTGCCGTTAATGCGAAGAAGGTATGAACGCTCGAGGGTCTTGAATCCGAAGAAGTTGTAGTTGAAGTCACGGTCGTACACAATGGCGGAGTTGAGCTCCTCGGCATGCTTCATAACGATCTCGTAATGTTCCTTTGAGATCATAGGAGCAGGCTTATTGTTCTTGGGGTTCACGTAGTGGTACAGATCGGAGATGACCATAGAGAATTGCTTTTTAGTTTGCTTGTGGAGGTTCGAAACGGCGATACGTGCAGCCAGAATAGCGTAGTCAGGGTGTGTGACAGTCATGTATGCAGCGGTCTCGGCAGCCTAAGATCGAGATATTAATATAATGTCACAAGCTGGGGGTAAGTAGGCGAACATACCAAGTTATCCAGCTCGATGGTGCCAACACCCTGGTAGACACCAGAGATGACCTTCTGGGTAATGGCTGCAGCATCAACGTGCTCGGGGTCGAGGCCATAACAGAGCCTCGAAACACGTGCGGTAATCTTGTCGAACTGCACGCGTTCCTTGCGTCCATCTGCAGTTTGTATCCGCGTTAGCCCTCTATCCGAAGAGTGTGGCAAAACCAGGTAGCTGTGGCAAGATGAAGGAGCAGAAGCTATCTCTTGCCACTAATGCCTCTGTGTATCAAACAATCGGGTATGCACTTACCTCTCTTGTAGACGAACATTTTGAATAGTGATGGGTTGGTAGGGGGCTGAAAAGAATAGAGAGAAGTGAATAAGGGTATCAAGATCACAGTAGCAGGAGAATTGAAATAGTATTAGAGTATAGAGAAAGGGGGAAAGATGAATGTATGAAGCCCGTAGAGGGGTGTGAGAAGAAGAAGAGATCAGAGGGGCAGAGGAATCTTTGGTTGCCGAGTGGACGCGTTGTCTTTTCGCGTGCCCGCGTTTTTTCAGCTTACCAACATGGGATCCACCTTTTCTTTCCAAACTTCATCCTGCCAGGCAGAAAACACCCATTTATACCAGATACAGTTAGCGCATCGATACTAATGATCTTAGTGTGGGTGGACTAGCGGGGATACAGAAGGCGGTGTGAGTGGAGGAGAGGCGGTGAGATTAGGCCTTGCAGCCAAACTGCAGGTCGCGAATGGTCACGTGAACACGCGAAAGTTCGCGCATGGGAGCATGGCATCGGAAGGCCTTCCCGCCGAGCGGCCTGAAGCATTCCGGGCTCAGATGATCGATCCTTTAAATGCCACTGCTACTCCGTAGATTGAATTTGGTTTTTGACGGCTTGAGGTTCACCCCGCCATGTCCTAGCCAACATTATACGCAATATCAAGGGGGCTCGATTGGGCCCCTTGCTGCATCACACATCAATGTGATGGATCTACATCATCATTCTGATGAAAGGGGCCAAGAGGGACAAGGATGACCTTAGAAGTACCTCATATGGACTTTTCATTCTCTTCTACAGGTGGAATCGTTGGCATCTTTTGGCTATTGATTGGATTTAAGTGAATCTGTGTAAATCAATCGAATGATTCGCAATTGAGGCAGATCTAGACGTTTTCAAGAGTCGTTCTGCGGGAAGGTGAAGAGCACATAAATCAATATGATTTTGGCAAATAAAAAGATAAAAGTTCCCGGAATTCAAATAGTGGCATCAGACGAGCAACATATTAGATAATTCGAACCAGATCCTTGAATAACAACGGTGATTCAAATCAGATCGAAAGGAGCAACATCTAGGCTAATAATATGGGCTCGCCTCGATATTCGCGTTAGGCTGCTCTCAGTCAATGTCGGCTTCTTACAGCAAAGCAGCAGCGCCGAGGAACACCGCAGCAACAAAGGTGGTGGCGGAGAACTGGTGGTCGGACGAAGCGGCGTTGAAGGTCGAAGTAGGGGACGCGGCGGCACCAGACTCAGAGGCGGTGCCAGAGCTGACTCCCGAGGTACCGGCGGCGGCGCTGGCGCCAGTGCCAGTGGCGACGACAGAGGAACCAGTGTGGGTGGCAGAGGACACGGCAGTGACGAAGCCAGTGGCAGTAGAGCTCTCAGAAGTGCCGGTAGAGGTAGCGGTAGTGGTGGAAACATCAGTGGCTAAAAAGAAGACAATAAATAAGACACCGATCCAATGATGTGACGTGATCTGGGGTATCGGTTAATCCTTACCAACTTTGTGGCCGAGCTGGGCGCAGTTGCTAGCGAAGAACTTCAGGGAGGCCTCGCTATCGGCGCAGTTCTTGGAGATGGCAGACTGGATCTTGCTGGCGCTAGAGCCACAGATAGTCTTCGAATCGGCCGGGTTGGGTTGGTTGCTAGATTGTCATCAGCTCGGGGGTCCACTAACATTCCTTCCATTCCTTCTAACATACCCGATGACCTTAAGGACACAGGCCGGGGTCTGCACGGTAGTGGCAGTCACGACATTAGCCAAAGCCACAATGGCAACGGCAAAGATGGACTTGTTGAAGAGCATGATGAAAGATTGGAGATCGGAGATCGGGAAATTGCAAATGATTGAAGGATTGGATTCAGGATCGCACAGCGAGTCTAGAGTAAAAGAGTGTGTGGGCTAAAGAGCGACTGTAGAGAGAGTGTGGAAAAAGTGAAAGACAAAGAGTGACGAAGTTGTAAGGAAGATAAGCTCTCGACCAGAGGAAAACGGGGGGAAGAGGGAAATCGGGCAACCGCAGTTTCATCACAATATGGAAGCCACGATGGGGGTCAGGGTCTGTTATATTACATTAAGGGTCTTACAGAGATGTACCCCTACTGCTGCTTATCCCATATTAAATATACTTTACAGTACCTGTTATATTAATACACATATTTCTGATACCCCATGGCTTGTGGCACTTCGGCTCCCAAAGCGGTTTAGCGTCAGGGACCTGTCCCCGGATACAGGGGGAGAAGCCTGTCAGTTCGTCGGAGTGAGCGAATATATGACAGTTATACAACTCAAGAGGTTGAGTTAAAAAATGATCAAATTGAGGGTAGTATTCTGTAGCATTTGAGGTAAGACAATGGCTTTTATTTTATTCCCATTAATTTCATGTGTCTTAGTGGCCAATCCAGATGACCTCGGAAGGAGAGGGCTTCGAGCTCTATTAATAACTCCAGTACCACAGCAAATTAACAAAAGATTAACAAAGGGTAACCTCCCAATCTTGGAGGGACGGGATATGTACTAATGTGGTGGGACAATCTCCTTCAATTAGAGACTAACATTTCCACTAGTTATGCTATGGAGTGAGTATCTGTTGTTTACTATACTATTTCTTTCAAATAAATGCTCTGCTCTTCATGAGACCAATGCTTAATTTAGAATTTTCATAGTTAGGAATTTCCTCTAGTCCGTACATGTGGGTTTCAGTCTAGATTGTCTCCGTGGAGTCATCAGCTCATACAGCTCGGAAGGTCTCTTCGCGCCATCCATATAAAGGTATTGGCCATCATGAGAACTCGATATTCTTCGACCTTGTGGGCCAAATGTGAGAGATAATGGACGTAAGGAGAAAAGTCTCGTAATCCAAGTTGGTATTCAAAGTAACGTAGCTACCTATGGAGAAAGCTGGCTCGAACAAGCTATCGAACGATATCAAACATCAAAAAGTAATATCGCCACCAGTTTGTTCTAAATGACAACTTTGCATAATTGCAAGGGGAGACTCTACAGGACACGAGGATCTATAAGACTATTGTTAGAAACGACGTATTCAATCATTAGAAACACTCACATCAAGGTCTGTTCTCAACGGTTCCAGTGGTTGTTAAAGGTCGAGATTCCTCTGCCCTCATTGTCATTCTGCAGTTGGAAGATGAGCTTGTTCATGAACTGTGGAGCCTCCTTGCCCGCGGCAGTGCTTCTTCCAAGGTGCAGCTTGGTCCTATCGAACACGTAGAAATCTTGGGAGACGCGCCAAAGCACATTATCGGAGACTCGTGCTCTAACCGCCTCATACCACTCGTTGAGGACTTCATAAGAAGGTGCGATGATCACGTAGCGCCATGACCAATCGTCGTTGCTCTGTTGTCACAATTAGCATTGGTCCCTTAAAAAAACACCCCAAAATATCCGCCTGCTCTTACGTTCTTTGCGTAGGCGTAGTAAACCATGATTGTGTATCACTTTCTGGGAGTCTGTGATTAAAAAGAGGTAGGTAAATGTTCTGATAACTGAGTCTCTCTCTTCTCAATGGCCTTGTTGAATGGAAATGCTATTTGCTCGAGGGCTTTCGGCGCCTTTTATAACTCATCCTTCGTCTAGCAAACGGGCCAAAAGCGGAGAGAGATAGGCATGGTGGAGATGCTTTGGGTATGAATGCAGAAATATGTGATATGTTGACAAGATGGAGAAGGCAACATGCATATACGAGTTCTTCATGCGCGGGCACTGTGTCTCTTATACCAGTAGGAGTCTACTGCAGAGATTTCAGCTAGTCTCCTTCTACCCCACGGGGTACCTAGATAATCCCTTCTTTACTCGGCTCGAACGGAGGTAGTTTACAGAGTAAAAGAAAATATTCACAAGTTAGAGTCACTTTTCTTGTTTACTTTACTAATGGTATTATCAGATATCACACGAGTACGTATTTCCTCCACACAAGGAACTTATAATAAGCATGAGCAATTTATGTAGACTTATAATCCACTTATTTTGTCAATTCCTGTGATGATGGACCAGTTCATCTTCCAATGTTGATTTCGAGAGTCTTGTACCGTCATATTACAGAGAGTCTATGTAAGCCCTTGCCTATCACGTACCTTTCTGTTACCCGATGTTCCTTGGCACTCAAATGCTGTGTAGCGAAGATAATATTGTATATGTTCTATGCCCATTAATCTTCAGTTGGCCTTGAAGCAGGCGCAACCGCAAATGTCATAGTACGGGGGTTTTGCATGAGGGATGAAACATATGCCGATCACTCAGCCAGCCACCTCTTCTAGCACACCATGTATCACGACGTATGGTCATCTACTACGTCAACTATGCAGGCAAATGACTATTGTGAGATGCAAGCGCTAATTTATTGGAAGGGGCATAGAAAGGAAGTGCTTTCTCGAGTGGGCGATCCTAATTGAAATGTTTCCGCTGCCTTGTTTGTGCGGGGGCTAATTGCTCACACCTCATTTCTATGACAGTAAGGGTATCATTCTCACTACAGGAACAATGTTATGAAGCAACACCCACGTAGAATCAGTTTTACTCAGTGAGCAAGAAGCGGCTAGGGGTGAACACTAGAGCAGAAATGGAAAGCCATGTCGTGCGACCTAAAATCGGGTCTACATGTATGCTTAGGTGTAGGGCTTCAGTAATCTGGTCGTATTAGGGATATTATATGTATATAACCTCTTAAATGTCTTTTATATATCTTGTCTTCTAGCTGGCTTTAAATTTCTTTCTTTAGGTATCAATGTCGAAGGCGTATACAGTTCTAAAATGGGGAGCTATATATGGCATAGAGACTGTCTCATGAAAATGGGAGCTCGTATAAGCTCGTGTGGACGAAGGGTGGAATATCTCTAGCATCTGATCCAGGGTATCATGTGAAAGCTGCATGGGAATTACCAAAGGGGGTGAGGGTGGATGGCGACTAGACATTTTCAAACGGATTGAATTAGAGACAAAGTATGGTCAATGAAAATTTGGAGCCTTTTGATGATACAACAAGAACCCATAATCAAGAAAGAGAGAAAGAAAAGGGAAGGTAAAAAGAATTATGTAGGCTACCTTGCCCTTTTATAGCCGATGTTAATATAGGTTCTGTTAAGAAGATCAGGCGGGGAAAGAGAGGAATAGGAAACTTCCTGTGCGGAGTAAGCTTGCTGACCGGATGCTGGCGGCCCGATTAGAGGGGGAATATTGGGGTTTTGTTGGTATAGCTCACCAATGGATTCCCGCATCAGAGGGTGTGGTGCGGAGGTGGGAGCTAGTTGCCATTTCTCGAAGGTGATTTCGGAATTCGTGATACCAATCAGGAGAACAATACGGACTTGTCCATCTGAAATAACAAACCAATCTTTCGCATTTAGACGTAGGCGAGGAAGTGATCCTGGTACACCAGCCTCAATCACTAGGGTAGGCCAGCGCCTTGAAAGTCCTGTCGAGGTGACGCGGTGAGATGATGGTACGAAGGCATTATCGGGCTGCTTGTCTTTAGTAGCAGTATCGTCGGGTATATATGTGCCCCTTCCCGTTCAAATCCAATTATTCCATGGCACTCCCATCAAATAGTTTTTCATGTCAATCAGCCTCGAGAGGTCACTATTGGCCATAATGTTGTTGTTTGGGACTATCTTGATCAGTCCAATGCTTCCTTCCCACTGGAAATGGTATGGAATGTTCGCAAGAATATCATGACTCTCGCCGTCGAGAATTTCGATGGTTTTATGGCGAGAGGCCGAGAACAACGATCCATTGAATCCCATCACCGTGCTCGTGATCGCTCAGCGACTTGAAGATTCTCTCTGCTTCTACCTGTAGTTTCTTTAGGCGAGAAAAAATATTTAAAACATGCCTGCCCGGGAGGTCGGATGTAATGGAAAGGTATGGGTCATTTGGTAAAATAGCGAGAGGTGATTGGAATTCATCGAAAGTAGATGGCTGAAGAAGTAAGATGGATACAAGTTGGGTCCGACACATACGGCAGGCACCTACGTACGTATGACATTAGAGTAGTTATACTGAGAACATTTTTAGATGCATGTCCCTTTTAAATGTCTTCCTCCAATAGACTCTCGTAGCCATGATGAACACATCCATGGATATCATATTATAAAAATGAAAAGTCTAACCCTGGAATTTGGAAACTTAAAGAAACCAATAAAATAACTTATATGGATCAACCCCTGCAATCTCCCCTGCCATCCTTCATCATGGAGAACGTCAAGACCCTTGATACTGTAGTTATCGGCCAGGGACATAGTTAGACGATCAACACCTATACCCTAACCGCTAGTAGGTGATAGGTCATATAACTTACATCGTTCAATTCTCAGTGGCTGTTGAACAATCCTTTGGCGACACTTTTCGAAATGAGTACCTGTTTCTTGAAACTTCGAGCTAAATGGAATACTCACACAAGAGCTTTGTACACGTCTGCCGTGTACAAAGTCCATGTCAACAAAGAATCTTCTCCACTCGGCCCCCAAATTCCATCACATCCAGTCCCTAACACTTGGAACCCCAGGGTAGTATTGATATTCCACCAGTCTGGATACTCAAAATTTACATGTACACCTTGACACAGGTAATGGATGTTCGGAGTACCATACCGGATAATGTGAGAAGTCGTGGCTAAGCCAGGTTACCTCACATATGGATCTAGATATAACTCGAATCAATCAGCTTCCAAGGTTCTTGTCACGTCCTAGATGTGTATTTTATCTACCGTTGGAATGGCAGCCCTGGAGCTCAAAGCCTTGTTCTTGTGTGGAAACGTTAAACGAAGTTGGAATACTCATATCAACATAGTATTAACTCTATACATCATAGGACTTCGTCAATATCAACAAATTACCCACTCGTCATAACTTCTCCCAAACAGGATCAAAAATACTCGAAACAACCTCCTGCACCGGCAATCTTTGATCCACAATCTCCCTCCCATTAACCAAATCATTCTCTCTAGCCCTCTTATCCGCCTCAACCTCATCCCTCGCAATCCCCGCCTTAACATGCCTAGCCACCAACCTCTTCCTCGCAACTTCAAAATCAACATCAACAAACCAAAGCTCATCCATCAACGCAGCAGCCGTCTTCCACGGCTCCCGATCCAAGCTTAGATAATTCCCTTCAAAAAACAGCACCCGACAACTCGCCGGAATGGCAATATCCCCATCAACGGGATCTTTAATAGCATGGTCAAAACTCGGCGCGTAGAGAGTGCCCGTTTGGGCTGTAAGCGGCTCTCGAAGAGCCCGCACAAGCTCGAGGAATTTCTCGCCGTCGAAAGTAAATTCTGCGCCTCGACGTGCCGCCGCATGCACCGGATCTGGCATGGCTGCTAGCTGTGCGCGCGTGAGGTGGTACCCGTCCATTGGGAGGGCGATTGCTATCGGTGTTGGTGTTGTTGGGTTCTCCGAGGCGTAGATTTTGTTAATCCGCGCTGCCATCATTGTTGCTAGGCCTGTCTTGCCGGAGCCTGGGATGCCGCTGATAGCAATCATTAGACGCGCGTCGTCTGCCGTTGAGCAGAGTTTTGCTGGGAGTTTTTTGTTAGTTAGGTGTTGTTATGCGCGTTGGTGATGGAAGAACGTGGGGCTGTAGCAGAGGGCATGTTTCAAGCTCTCGTTCTTCTTTGGTAGATGGGGCCTTGCTTACCCCAGGTCTTGTTCACCAGTCGGTCTACCTGTTGATCCATGGTTGGCTAGTGAGGTCACGCTGGGATCAAATGTGTATGATGGAAATATCCGAAGGAAGGAAAAGCCCTCGATTGGTGGGGTTGCGCGAGGTGTGGTGAAAGACTTGAATGTTGCAGATCGGCGTACAGCAATATTCGACGTGGGTTCTAGCTACTTTGTATACTGAACATGTGGTTATTTGCCTCTTTGGGTTGTTGGACTAAACATAACTTCTCCCCCGACGTATTGGCGGGGGCTCTTCAAGTGGGGACTGATGTACTCCGAGACATACGTCACTCAACTTGACAGGTACACAGAGTAAATATCTTCAATTGACTTGTTTTATATTGTTTTATGTTGTTTATTGCACATCCTCCAGCCCATGAAAGAACCGAAATATCTGAAAATACAAAAATGTCTAAAAGGCGAATTTGGCAAATTACAACCCTGAAAAGGCCTAGAGGCCGTTGATGTCCAATGTTTGTTCACTGATAATCGACAATTAAATAAATCGGAAAAAAAAATGGAGACAAGAATGTTAAGATCATAAGACAGCCTCAAAGGACGTGTCAACGCCGTCGCAAGATCCACCCAAAAAAAATAAGTTATGTAAAATTCGCCAAAAAAACGCCATTTCCGATATCGCCAACATCTTCAGTATCAAATCGCACATCATTCAGTATTGCCTCCTGGGCAGCTGTGTTCAATTGTCGCGGTTGGTTCGAGGAGCGCCCTCGGTGTCAGTGGAGTCCATGCTCGCACTGAGACCACGGTCGAGGGTGCGTGCAAGGCCGGCCGCGGCCCACCAGTCGTCGGGAATATCCTCACGACGAGCAAGTCGATCCAAGATGACCTGCATGTGGTGGAGATCATCATTTTGGTGGTGACGGTCGGAGAGCGAGGGATTTTGGCGGCGACCGTCAGAAAGAGCGAGAACGCTTGCAGGGATTATCACGGGGACAGGAACGGGAGGATGGTTGCTCATCGTCGAATTCTGATCGGGACGACGACGGTTTACCCGTCCCATAAATTCATGGAAAGTAGACGGAGCATCCTCGTCATCGGAGGAAGAGAAGTCACAAGGGTTGAGTTGGTCAGGATAGGGGTCAAGTCCAAAGTGAGCACGGGCAGCTTCTGCAGTCATCGGTTGCGTTAAGTTAACAGAGCTCCGAGGACGAGCATTGCGCGAAATATCTGGAGCAGAGGCAGATGTTGAGGTAAAAGACGTATCAGTCGATGGAAGAGTCGCATCAGGCGTAATGGTTGAGAGCAAAGTCTCCCACGCATCGGTTTCCCGCTCTGCGTCTGGACTAGGACTGCGCTGGCGATCCCCAAGCCCGTCGACGACAGGGTCTCGGGTTGATCGGGATTGTGTGTTGTTGCTAGACCGGTATTCAGGTATCTCTGGTGGGAATGAGGTATTGGAGACGCGGTCACTGTTGTATCTTTCACGCATAGGGGGAAGACGAACGCCGCTGTCCGGAGGAGTCGAGGAAGCGCTGGTATGGTATGCGCGTGCGGGAGCGAAGTTGGGAGTCAATGAAGGGCTGGCTTGGGTATTTCTGGGCTGACCGTCCATGCGACCGAGGAGCTCGGTCAAGGCTTGATCGCGATGATTCCTGAATATCTGGTTGGCTGCCTCTGCCTGTCGGGGTGTACTCGCTGCGCGGGACTGGGCCCACACGAGGGCCTCGCGTTCGGCTTGTTCCAGAGCCACTGGATTCTCGACAGCCCCGTTTGGTGGTATGAAAGAAAAGCGCGGTACGCGTCTGGGTTCCGCAGTGCCCCGTCGGAGCTCATCAATGATCTGTGAATGAAACGAAGCCAGGATATCGGCGCGGCGCACGCGGGAGCTACTGTGCCGCGATGGTCCTCGGCGAATCGACGAGCGTGCAGTAGCCGATGGGTCCTTTTCCAAAGCAGACTTGGATGCCTCGGCCTTGGAAGGCTCACGCCACATACTGCCGATCGGAGTTAACAGTGCACGGCGAAGCAGTAGCGCATGCGATAACTTCGCGCGCCAACATAAGGACGGGATGACTTACGGGATACCCATTTTACGTTTTGAGCAGAAAGAAAGAAGACAAAATCAAATAGTTGAAAAAGAAGGACAAATAATGATCAGGAAGGCAATTATAGGAACTAGTATAACACAACTTGCGATAACGGTGGAGATGGTTGATGGAGACGGGGGAGATACATTAGGTTTTTAGAAAAACTCATGCCTGAGGCTTTGGGAGTGGCTAGAGTAGCTGGGTCACGTGCCTCTTGTTCAATCTTTCAGTAACATGTTTGTGCCATGTCTTTTGAGGAAATCAATTATAGAGAGCCTATTTTCAAACCCCTTTGGTTCAATGAACTGGATTAACAGCTGAATGGCTGGATTCTATAGAATAACCCTTAATATTGTGGTAAAGGACGAAGATTATTATGCCTGAGGTATGAATATCTAGAGTATCACGTGAAATTGTTTCTCCGATCACGGTAAGCGCTCCGACCTTTGGAGGCCCACGGGTAGATTACCGTAGCTTATGCTCATCCTAGCTCCCTTTTTCTTGTTGACAATGGAGCTTTGAAGTTCTGAAGCTGGCCGTCATTACCTGATAATTCGGTCGATAATGACAATTGACCTTGAACTTCCCATCACGCCACACTCGGAGGAATGATTGAGTTAGGATTAAGCCGGGTCGCGAGTCTGCTCCAGCAGACTCCGCTCTCATGGAAGTCCATTCACATTGCTGGAACCAACGGTAAAGGATCTATCAGTGCCTACCTTTCCCATTTGCTGTCCACTGGCGGAGTGCGTTGTGGCCGTTTCACTTCCCCGCATTTGATTGATCGATGGGACTGTATTACAATTGGAGAGAAAGTGGTCCAAGAATCCCTTTTCCGACAGATCGAAGATAAAGTCAAACTACGAGACCAAACCCTAGGCATCGGTGCCTCCGAATTCGAGTTGTTGACCGCGACGGCGTTCGAGATATTCAACCATGAACAGGTCGAAGTTGGTGTGGTCGAGGTGGGCATGGGAGGCCGTCTAGATGCGACAAATATCTTGAATAATGTTCTTGTCTCGGTCATTACAAAGATAGGGGTGGACCACCAGGCTTTTCTCGGATCAACACTTGGGGAGATTGCCCGTGAGAAGGCGGGCATTCTCAAGCCTGGAGTCCCTTGTGTGGTAGACAATACAAACAGTCAGGAAGTGGTTGAAACTGTGAGGACTCATATTCAAGAATTGGGTATTGATTCCTTGTTTGTCTCTCCCGCAACAGTCTCTGAACAAATTCCGGCACTTGCGCCTTACTTCCAGAAGCTTGATCTAGAGCCCCACCAACAAGAAAACATGTGCTGCGCAGTGTCTGCACTTCGCCTTGCCCTTTCTCAACTCCGACCTGAGATGGATGCATTCTCGCTGCTTCCATATCTGGCTGATGTAACATGGCCGGGCCGTTTACAAAACATTGTCCTTCAGCCTTTGATTGCTCGCGCAGAGCCTATCCTGCTTGATGGTGCTCACAATGCACAATCTGCTGAAGTTCTCGGCAAGTACGTGGACCGCAAAATGCGCATTCAAGGCCAACCCGTGACTTGGGTTGTTGCCGCGTCAAGCGGAAAGGATCTGGCTGGTGTGTTTGGTTCGATTATCCGGCCCGGAGACCGAGTCGCCACCGCCGAGTTTGGTCCCGTGGACGGGATGCCCTGGGTCCAGCCAACTAACGCCAAAGAGCTCGCCTCTGCTATTCAAGCTATCCAAAACATAGGTCAGGTCCAGAGCTTTGAAGGAGATTTACTTCCCGCTCTTCAGTGGGCTAGTGAGCAATCCCAAGGGGGTCCTCTTGTCATTGCTGGTAGCTTGTACCTCGTTTCCGATGTGTTGCGCCTTCTCCGTGCCCAAAAATGATACCCTGTATAGATCGATTGGATTTCCCCGACCTATATCAGTAAATAATAGAACCATACGTCAACAGCAAACCTTTTATTTCTTTTCCAGCCTCTTATATCCTCTAGTAAACTAAAGTTATACGTCAAGCGGTCTTATTCTTCTAGATTAAATAGTAAAAATTCCATCAAACTGTGCACTGTAGGGCTGATCGGCGATTGTCCAGCACAGCCTGCATGATGCGGCGGGTGGAGCACGAAAGTTCAAAACAACCACGATTTCTTTGCGAACAAACCCCCTTCGCGCTCTATTGTCGCCTCTACTGGATCGTTATTCTTCAGGATCCTTCATGGTAATTGTGTCCATCTGAAGATCTTACATGCACCTCGACTTGTTGTGGAAACAGCTCTCTAGGGCGTGAGAGCTGAAGTGCTGTAATGTCTGCTTGGTGAGACCCTCCCCACAACGTCCGCACGTGAATGGCCACTCGTGATGCTTGTTTGTGCTTTGGTAGACTCGGACTAATTGACAATTATGATTGCCAGAACCTATGACATGACCTCTCAGACCGTTGTTATTAGCTCTTTCAAGGTTGCCTCCTTCCTCGGCTTTCACCCCACCCCCCCTCTACCTCAAACCACACCGTGAGACCCACAGCCAACTTGAACACATACTAGGATACAGTCTATCCTAGTGCTGCATCATGGTCGCCCGGCCCGGCGAAGGGACCGAAGGGCAGCCTCGCCCTCTCACCCCCTCCTCGAGAACCCCCGGAACCCCGATAAAGCCGCGATTGACACGAGTCGGAACGAGTCCTACAAAGCGAGAAGAGAAACCGAAGGAAGACAAAGTTTTGAAATCGTCGGCCAAAGATGTTGCAGAGCTTAAGGATTATGTATGGATATCGTGTCCTGTTTCCCCGCAAAACATGGATTGGGCAGATGCTGACCTTGGGTGTTGATGATAGCAATTGGGAGACTGCCTTGGCAAAGGAGCTTTCGGCTCCGTGTATCGCGCGCTGAATTGGAATACAGGGGAGACTGTTGCCGTTAAGCAAATCAAGTTGACGGATCTTCCAAAGAGTGAATTGCGCGTTATCATGGTATGGGATCAAACCGCTCTCGGTGTTCGTCTGGT